TTTAAACAATTGAGATATCAGAGCATAGAAAATGGAGTATAATTTTCATTAGAAGAACACAAACATACCTTCGATATTATTGTAGTAATGCGGTTGGCGAGCGTTGACAACAATGCAGCTTATAGCAGTGAATAATAATAATTTTAATAGTAGGTACTTAATATTGTACATTATAAATTAGTAATTTTGAATAATTGTTTGATATGAATGATAGCAGATATTGATATCCTTATATCTAACAATACTGAAATGCAATCGAGTGAAGTGCTGTAAACTGAGATGAATCGAATTCTATCGAATTTAGTTGAATTCAATTGAATTGTTCTAGATATTCTTTTTATTAATGAGATGTTTTAATAGGAAATCGGTTTGTAGATAGGTCAGTTGCATTGATAATGGCGATATGATGACCTAATTTGGCAAATTGTATCTTAATTTGGTGTTATTTTATTTTATTGATCCTTTTAATCATTAACGTTTTTTTTTTGATCACTTCATTAAATTATTCATTTATTCAGTTTGCAGCAATTAAATTCCTTACGATTAAATATAAAATCAATTTCTACTCTCTCTTCTCTTTTAATTGACCATTAAGAACGGGAGAACAATTATTAGTACATTCTTCTGTGTTTCATTCACATCTTCCTTTCCACACATATGGAAACTAACAACATTAACTGCAATTATGAACTATTCTAATTTCATTATATGTTCATTTGGTGGACACAGTAGTAGACGGGCTACCTTCCTGTATTCTCCNGACACGAGACATCCAACGGATCATTCTGAATTCTTTTTATTTCATCACCCATAAACTTGACTGAATTTGTGTGAATTCCCATGTATTCAAATGTTTTAAGAACAAGCATTTCGAAAGATTTTATTTTTGAAACAACCATTAAATTACATCATAAAATGGAGAGAGTATCGAATAAAATTATGTCATAATTGGAAACAATATAAATTAAGAAAGGAAACAAGATCATTTGAGTAATTAAGAGAATATTATGGATATATATTAGAGATAGACGATTATCATTTCGTATATAATAAGCAGAATGTTCATCATTACTGTCATCATGAAAAACTTTCGAATCAAGTTGATAATGACAGATAACAGGATTCATATATATGACCCATAATTGAGATACACTGACCAATAGCAGTCACAAGTCATCCTCTAATAAGTACTATAGCATGCGATTTATTATGCAACGCATAATGAGATTAACGGTATCAGAATGCAGTTAAATATACTCATTTACAAATAAACACGTATAACAACGAAACCAATATAAATGAGCTGATTAGATTAATATCAACAGAATAGAAGCATATGCTAGCTGCAACAGTAATAATAATGATGCTCTGTGTTACTGAGCTTATACATATATTTATACCGATAATACGTTAACAACACATAAATAAATAATTTTTGTGAATGTTCACCGGAGCTGATCATAAAAATCAGATTGGAATGACAACGGAAAAAAATAGCGAAAAAATGAAATGAAATGCTAAACTGAATATCAGATCAATGAAGATGAAGGAAATAAATTATACGGAAAAATTATGCTAATTGTGAATAAATATTAGAGCAATTCGGTGAAAATCGAATGAAATGCGCAGATTTAAGAGTTAAGAGTTTAGCGAAGTGATAAAGTTTAGACAAGCTTGTTCATAGTCACTTGGATGCAGACGATAGTGTTGACAGTGCGGTGAATTGACGAAACATGTTTTTGAGATGTTGAAATTACGATTCTCTTTTTGTTTATTGATGAACGATTCGATGGATTTCGACGAGCAGATGGCATCTGAATGCGAGTAGAGAAACAGTTGATGGGGTGGCAGTTCGGTAAACGAGAGCATTCGATAGAATGCGAAATTACGCTCGTAAACATTGGCCTCGAACTGTGACCTGAGCCAGATTAGTGATCGATGTAGTGATAGACCTGCGGCCAGAACGCATCGATACGTGTCTCGAAGCGTCGATGAGTACTTGCCCGTTGGTAATGTGGCTATCGAGATCGCCGTCGCACTCTGCCATGGACTCACATTCGCAGGTGCGCTGAATCATTCTCACCATTAATGTGTTTATTATTATTTAACATTATCAATATTGCTGGAGTGTTTCCTCAATGTCAGCCCAAAATGAGACTCTAACCTGCCCCTTTTTCGCCTCTATCTCATGATTCATTCATTTATATCGCCATTATCCTTCCCAACCCGTTATTCTCGCCACATTCTACTTCATATCTAATTTCATACCTTCACCATACACCCACAAACAACTCACAATAGGCTTATTATTTCGTTTTATTGTTTGCACTTCAGACAACGACTGCAAATAAGTTGTAAGTTCGAAACGAGCAAATAATTAGAACACCAACCTATCATAAATGATCCCCTTAATCTTTGCCTTAAACAAATCCGCATCAGCCAAATTTTCGATCAAATCCCACAGCGCACAAAACACTGAACATCCGTTCATACTGAACACGTGAAAGACGATAAACGACGATTTGCACGACTCCAAAACATTCTCATAGATTTCCAATGCGAACGCTCGATAGGACGAGAACGATCGAACCTTCTGTATGTCGGCAGTGAATCGAACTGTCGAGTATCTGAAGCANAGCAAATTTCAACGGAACCCTCAAATCATCATTAAAAACCCGAATCAAATCCGTGCAACACACAGCAACAAATGAAACTCACCCAGCCCTTTCGTAGATTTGTGAATATTTCATTAAATATCGATCATTACAACCAGCCCATCCGAACAGAAGCACTAATCCAGAATCTGGATTTTCATTCAGCGTCACACAAATATCCCCGCATTGACAACAATTATTGGTTGTTTGATTATTGTTATTATCGTTAAAATTATCCACACCACTCTGATTTTCACCACCCATCGTTTTCAGCAGCTATTTATTCGATCCAACTGATGGCAAATGAACGAATAAATATCTTAAAGAAACAACACAATGCGATTAACTTCATTTGACAACATCAATTCAAGATCATCATAAACGTCAAAAAATTATATTTACGCGCCGACATCGATCCCGTTTTATCCGCGGAACAAATACAAATTTTGAAAAATGAATTCCCAACGAATTCATGTCTCCGTCGACCAAACAACTGAAGAAAGAGCAAATCAAGGACACGTATCATATTCAGTGATCAATCAGTGAAACGAAACTGGTTTATCAACGAAATAATACCGATAATAAAGGTATGCATGTACTGCAGATATCTAAGAATGATTAAATGAATGCAAGAATGGACTTATGTATATGTCAATGTTAACATTCAACATTCACTCTCATTTCATAACCTTTACAGTCATCAATTAAGGCAAAACATATAACAATATGCTGCTTGTGTTTTCATTCAACAGAATGTTGTAGTTCGTGTGTTAAGACATATTTCTAAAGATAATCGCTAGGGGAATTCCCTCGGTGCATTAACCTTTCATTCAGCAGTATTAATCGCCACATGTTCGAGCCAACATCGAATCCGTTCAACACTATAGAAAGAAGTAATTCCTATATTATCCGGATTGGCTAGGCTATCAAACGTTTTGAACGTTGCTGGCCACAATGCGTTTGCAATTCGTTCTTGACCTTGCCTTCCTCTGCCCAATGATAATATCGTCTTCCCAACTTCTTGGAAGTCTCCCGAGTGATCTTTTTATTCCTCTTGGATACCACCACTCTGCAACTGCCCCAGTGCATCTGTCATCGTTTATTTTTGCTGTGGCCTACTCAACTTAGCTTCTTCCTCTTCCTGTACTCTACGAGTACGTCTTCTACGCTACTCCTTCGACGAATCAACGATAGATATGTTTTCAACAAGCATCTCTCGATCGCTTTTTGCGTTATTACTAATCGTTGTTCTTCGCTCCTTTCAGCATCTCACATTTCATCCGCATACAGAAATGCAGATAAAACGTTGCAATCAGAAGGTGGGTGCTGACAGATTCATTTATTCATTCTCTTTGGTCACATCCTCTATCCCAGTGGTCGCCACGCTCGGATGCTTCATTATCTCCTTCGATGGTCAGGAAGGCCGTCATTACCCTCTGTACCCGTTACAATGATTTACAATTTCCACGCATAACGTCACAAAAAGTCAGAAACCGGTCCTCAAACTACTCAGTGATATGGAAGCAAAAAATTTCTACAATAAAACAAGTACTTCTAGAAAAGTGCAGAAACGATATGAATCTCATCAATTTACAACGAAAAGCAGTCAAAAACACATTCGTTAGCGATGAAAAAAAAAGATGGAATATATCAACAGGTTCATTTATACATGGAAACAGAGCAGGTGATGTAAATTTGTGAAATCATCTTGGTGAGGAACGGAAAAACAATCGTTCCACTGAAGTGATAGTCGAGGAAGAAGTA